ATCTTAATACATAGTATTCATTTCAGTCTTGAGTATACCCTCCAAAGAGACCTGCACCCTAAATGAGGAATAACTCACACCCGCTAGCATAGATAAGATCACACAGACACTTTATCTATTGGCTGGAAGGTGGACTAGACCACAGGTAGTAACTTTGTCTCTTGCCAGGGTCAGATAGGGTGTTGGATTCAAAACCACTCACGGAAGGTCTCAGAGCTACCCAGAGAGTGCTGACAGTAGACTTAAGCCCAAACCCAGTGCCTGGCAAAAATGCAGATCAATGAAGGCCTGATTCAAGAATGTGTACATTCTGCTCACCAAGCATCATTTTTTCTTTTCTTTTTTTTTACAAGAAGCTTCCTTCAAACTCAACTCTACTAACTATAAAAGAAACCCCTAGAGCAGTGGTTCTCAACCTTCTGGCCCTTTAAATACAGTTCCTCATTTTGTGACCCAACCATAAAATTATTTTCATTGCTACTTCATAACTGTAATGTTGCTAGTTATGAATCGCAATGTAAATATCTGATATGCAGGATGGTCTTAGGCGACCCATGTGAAAGGGTCGTTCGACCGCCAAAGGGGTCGCGACCCACAGGTTGAGGACCACTGCAGAGTAGACAATTGGTTTGAATGTTTTTCTTTTTAGAGAATCAGTTTAATACAGAATTAAGCCCATCTGTGCCTTGAGCAGGCTGAAGTCTTTTTCAACAAATATTGGTATCTATTACATGCAAGGCATTAGGCTTAAGCAGAGGTCAGCAAACTTCCTGTAAAGGGCCAGACAGTAAATGTGTTAGGCTTTGGGGGCCCTATGGTCTCAGTGCTCAGCTCTATCAGTGTGAACGCAGACACAGTCCAGATAGTACAAGGATTGGGTATAGCTGTTCCAATAAAGCTTATCTATAAAACAGTCAGTGGGCCTGTTTTGAATGTGACCTGCTCGTGGGCTATAATGTTGTCTGAACCTGATCTAAGCTATAGTCAGAAGCCTTTAACAAGTATACGTTCGGAGAACCAAGATGGTGGCATAAGGTACAGACCTGTGTGTGCTGCCTCCCACAACAACATCGAGACTACCAACTATAAGACAAACAGCTATCATTCAGAACCATGGGAAAGCTGGCCCAGTGGAAGCTCTACAACTGGAGGAAAGAAAGAAGAGCATTGAGACTGAGTAGGTTGTGCAGAGGCTCCAAGAACAGAGGTACGGAGTCGCACACCAGGCGGGCTGCAACTGGATCAGCGTGTGTTTTTTTTCAATTGGAAGGGCTACAAACTCTCAAATCCACTGAGCTTGTTTGGGGCGGATTCTGAGGTCCCAGACCCCTACGTGGAGAGGCAGGACGGCCTTGCAATGGGCCGGAGAGCAAGGATGGCTGTCTCACGGAGCTGCTCACCGGCACTCGGGGGCACGGAGACGTGTAGTAGTGGAGAGACGAAGAGTCGAGGAGGCGCCATTGCCCCTTGCTCTGCCCTGGTGATTCCTGGAGACCCCCACCCTACTCAATTTACATCCCTGTCCAAGCTGTGCCAGTGGCACAAAAGGAACCACCTGCACTTTTGCAGCCCAACCCAACAAACTGCAAATTTCGGCTCCTCGTATACATAAGGGACACACTCAAGAAGCAGAATCAGGTTCGGAGGAAGCCCCAACAAACTGCAGATTTCAACTCCTCGCACCCATAAGGGACACACTCAAGAAGCAGAATCAGGTTTGGAGGAAGACAGAGCCGAACCTGGCTGGGCCGGCAACATAGAACCACTGTACCAGCAAACGCACAAGCAGGTCCACCAGATCCAGTCTCACATGGGACACTGGGAGACAGCAGACAAGCAGTCTGTGCACTTAGTAGAAAACGAAATCCAAGCAAGCATACCAGATATTCAGCCACAAGAACGCCTGGAGATTTTGTCCAGCAAGGAGACACCCAACAGAAGACAGAATGCCAAACTTCGTGTTGCTGAGACAGCCCCCTTGAGGCTGAGACAGCCCCCATGAGGCTGGGATGGCCCCCGTGTAGCTGGGACAGCCGTGGTGAGGCTGAGAGGGCCCCAGTGAGGCTGAGACGGCCCCAGTGAGGTTGAGATGGCCCCAGTGAGGTTGAGATGGCTCCAG